GGTCAAGCTAGCAGATGCAATCCCAGCATTTCGGAGTGTGGCCTTGGACATTACCCCAAAGACACACGTCCCCGTAAGAGGGTGGAAGAGGGAAGACAGGTGTGTGTGTGTGCAGAAATGAGAGTGGAGCCAGATACTGGACGGGACAAGTACAAACTACAGACCTAAGGCAGCCAGGCCATTCCCAAGGCTAGGAAAGGAACAGGAAGAGGTCCCAAAGGCTCGGAGGGAGAGGGGCTCCGTCAGTACTGTCGTTTCCAGTGCCTAAGCTCTAACATTGCAGGAGAGTAGATTCCTGTGTGTGTGTATATGACTTGGAGGACAAAGAGAAATAGGGACAGAGATCTTCGTGATGGGGAGGGCTCTTCCTGGCCTGCTCCTCCCCCACCCCCAGCTGCTCTAATCTCACTGTGGTCTCTGCTTCTTGTCTCTGCCAGGCTTTCCCTGTTTACCCTTGCTCTCCACTTTATCAGTTGACTTTGTTACCAATACTGGTCTTTTCTGTTTATTTTATGCATATTGCCATTCACTCTCTTTCCCACTGAAGACTGAGTTTCCTGAGATTAAAGGTTCTGCCTGTTTGGTTCACCACTATACTCTCAGCTCCCCGATATATACATCTGGTAGACCCTCCATAAATAGTTGACAAATAAATAAAGGCTGGGGGCAGGGCAGGGAAAGAGATATAAATGCAAGGAGCCCCTTCTGGTTAGGTGCCCCCTCACCCATGCTATATAGCCCATGCTGGCTTCAGACTCTTTACATAGCCAAGGATAACTTTGAATGTTTGATCCTCCCATCTCCACCTCCACAGTGCTGGGTTTACAGGCGTGTGTCATGCCAAGTTTGTGCCTGGATTATATAGTGTTGGGGATCATACCCCCTGTGCATGCTATGCAAGCATTCTAACAACTAAGCGACACCTGGAGTCCCCAGATGCAATGCCCACTTCCCTTCTCTGTTCTCAGGCTGGGGATGGAGCCCAAGGCTCTGTGCATGCCAGACAAGTGCTCTACCCTTGAGCTACATCTCCTGTCCTTTCTTTGTCCTTAATGGGGGAGCATGGCTGTCTCCTCTCCCTGAGCTCTGGATGCCACCCTCACTTCTACTGCATCAGTTAATCACTCTAGATCTTCCCTTAGCTTTCCTCAGATTGTTTCCCTCAGCGCAAACACAAGATCATATCCTGTCCTAAAAGAAAAGCTAGGTTTCGCGATTTGATGATGTTCTCTGTATCCAAGTCTGCCTCCGTTCCTTTTGTCCAGGGGCGAGTGGGTCAGTCTTCCCCGACACTCTCGGCCCCACCTGCCCCCACCAGGTGTTTGTGATCTGCCATCAGTCTCTATCACTGTCCTGACGCTGTTCCAGATCAACTCCAGTGGCCTGCCAGCTCTGGTCCTGTTTCCTTTCTTATCAGCCTTGGCAGTGTCTCTAGAATGCTGTCCCTCCTGCTCACTCTTCCAGGACACAGGTGTTCCTCTCCCTCTTGGGGTCCCTTCCAAGTCCTCACAGGAAGCGTTTCCTCTTTCTCTCTGGGAATTGCCATTTCAGCCTCTTGCAACTACCATCCTAACTGTATATTGTTAAGCAGTTTTCTCTCCTGTGATTTAAATGACCATTTATAGATGTGCATGTCATACCTTTGGTGACCCAAATTTATATTGCCAGATATCTTCTAGATGCTTCTATTTTTATGGCCCTTCAGATTTAGTATACCTGGAGTTGAATCTACAAACGACCTTTTCTCTACTTTCTCTCCAAGCAGAGATATGATGCCAACCACCTCTCAGCTGCTCCGGAGCCTGCCAGGCTTGTTCATCATCCCCTGGTCGACTCTGGTGCCAGGTCCTATTGAATTCACCTTCTAAATATCTCTTGAATCCATCTGTCCTCCTTTCTCAGCTTCTGCTAAACTCAAACCTTTTTCTCCTCTTTCCTGGGCACCTCAGCAGCATCTGAAGGCCTCCTCCCGGGGAAGCTTAACCCCCACCTCCCCTCCAGTCCCTTTGGAGGTGTGGTCTCACTGTTTAGCCAGGATGGTCTTAGCTCACAATTTGTCTGTTCCTGTCCCCTGGATTAAAGAGGTGCCCCACCATATACAACCTTGTTACTTCAGGGTTTTGTTGTTGTTGTTTTTGTTTTTTTTTGAATTTTTTGTTGTTGTTGTTGTTTTTCAAGACAGGGTTTCTCTGTGGCTTTGGAGGCTGTCCTGGAACTAGCTCTTGTAGACCAGACTGGTCTCGAACTCACAGAGACAGGCCTGCCTCTGCCTCCTGAATGCTGGGATTAAAGGCTTGTGCCACCAACGCCCAGTTGTTACTTTGTTCTTAAGTGTCGCTTTCAAATGAAAGAATAGCATATTCCCTATAGTCAATTACTTGCAAGGTTATTAAGCTACTAAGAAATAGTAAAGACACACACAGCACTCAAGTAGTCCTCAAACCTGACCCCCAACACACAGGTACATATTCTTTTCTTTCTTTTTGTTTTTCAAGACAGGGTTTCTCTGTGTAACCCCTACTGTCCTGGAACTCACTCTGTAGACCAGACTGACCTCAAACTCAGATCCATCTGCCTCAGGTTCCTGAGTGCTGGGATTAAAGGTTTGTACCATCACCACCCAGCTCTTATTTTTTTCTTTAAAGAATTTTTTTAACATTCTGCAATTCCTTCTTCCTTCCTTCCTTCCTCTTTCCCCTCTCTCTCTCTCTCTCTCTCTCTCTCTCTCTCTCTCTCTCTCTCTCTCTCTCTCTCTCTCTCTCTCTCTCTCTCTCTCTGTGATAGAGTCTCAAACTATTTAGATCTCGCAGGTCTAGAATTCTATGTATCCCAGGCTGGCTTGGAATTAATTCACTGAAATCCATCTTCCTCTTCCTTCTGAGTGCTAGGATTAAAGGCATATACGAAGTCTATTTATTTATTTATTTATTTAGAAATCTCTGTTTTTTGTTTTTTGGTTTTTTGGGTTTTTTGTTTTTGGTTTTTTTTGGTTTTACGAGACAGGGTTTCTCTGTATTGTTTTGGAGGCTGTCGGTCCAGCCCAGCCTCGAACTCTCAGAGATCCACCTGCCTCTGCCTCCCAAGTGCTGGGATTAAAGGCGTGCGCCACCACCGCCCGGCTAGAAATCTGTGTTTTAAGAGGTACTTCTTTTTACATTTTGGTATCTCTGATGCTTGGTTAAATTCAGTTGTGCATTGTGTCTTTTTTTCTCATTCTGATACATTATTCTTACCCATAATTCCAAATCTTTTTTGTTTGTTTGTTTTTGTTTTTTGAGACAAGATTTCTCTGTGCAGCCCTGGCTGTCCTGGAACTCACTCTGTAGACCAGGCTGTCCTCGAACTCACAGATTCACCTGCCTCTGCCTCATGACTGCTGGTATTAAAGGAATGCACCACTAGTGCCAGGCCTTCCAGATCTTTCTAAAGTACAAATCTGATCTGGTTGTGACTCTCTGGGAAAATTCTTAAAAGGCTCTGCCTCAGGGAGAGGACTCTCTATCCCCTCTCCCTAACCCTTTCTTTTCCGGCCCCCACCTTCCTACAGCTGCATCCCTCTACCTTAAAGTCAAGCAGCTAGTTCCCCAAAATATCTAAGTGAAGCCAGAGTCCTCCTCCCAGCAGTGTCTTCTATCTTAAAGGTTTCACTTAGTTTTTGTTTTAATGCAAGTGACCACTCATTGAATTGAGTCTGAGCTCTTCCTTCCCGTACTCTCCCCACCCCTCCCCACCCCCACCCCCAGCTTGTGGTATGTGCTGCTCTTAAATCAGGTAGCATGCAAAGCCATGTCATTTCTCTGGTCTTTTGATACCAACACAGAGTTCTCTAACAGGCGTTCTTCCTTATATATAACCCATTTCTAACAATGCCCAGCAATGAAGCCAAGAAATGCCTTTAGAAATAATGAACTAAATATGAGGAAGGCAAGGAGGTGCCCTTATAGAAGATGTAGAACCTTCCAGCTAACCACCTTTTTACCTTAAGGACACTAAACCACTTGGGTATCCAGAAACCAATTGCAGACCTAGTAATTCTACCCTCAACTGAAGGTGAATGGTGTCAAAATTTTTGGCATCTCCCCTTTCTCTCGTGTCTTAAAGAATTGCAAGTCGGGATTGCACCTCTTGGACCCTTGTACAACTCGGCATATATATTTGTGCAAGGCACCAAAGAGGGCTTCTTCTGACTTGCCCACCTGAGTTTTCCATTGGAACCCCCCAGCATCCATGAATCCCACTGAGACTGAACACCAGTAAATAAATATGAGAGCTGGGATCTAGTAGGTAACATTTGTTTTACTAACTACTATAAGGCCTCAAAGTTTAATGGAGCCATCAGTTTCCCTGTCAACCCACTACTAGATTTCAATTCTAGAAACTGCCCCAAATAGATAGTTCGTCTTTCTGACCTAGATAATTTAAAGTCAAGGATTCCAAGTCATTTGTGGAAATGTTCCAGGATACTGTTGGAATTTTAAATGAATCACTTTGGATGTGGCCTTTCTGACAGTCACTGAGATTAGACAGTGTCTAGCGCAAATGAGACCCTGGGTTCGAGCCTCAGTGCTGACTGGGATGGGGGATAGAAGGTGTCCATATTAAAACACGTTCACAACTGTAGGACCACCATGCTGGAGCTATTCCTAGTGAGAAATCCAGAACTGCAAAGCTAAGTAAAAAAGGTGAGAGCAGGAGAAAAAGGTGCCAAATGCCAGGGGAGGGGAAATGGAGAGTTTATCCCCAGAAATGTGACTGTCGTGAGAGGGTGCTGAGGCACTGGCAGTTGGGGAAAGGTGGGAGGGACTGTTGCAGCAAGCCTGGCTAAGGGTGGGGGGGCTTGCTGCCACAGTACATACTGTAGATAAAGCACAGCATGCACACGATTCAAGATAGAGGGGGGGCACAGACCACACAGAAATGGAGGGCAGTAGCAGCTGTTACCGAGAAGTGCTGTGTATTAACTCTCCCCTCCTAAGAAGGCGCTAAGGAAATACTTAGTTCCAGTCTTAAGAGGCTCAGAATTAGGCTGGACCACACAGCCCCTTAATAGATGGAGCAAGTCTAGCATCCCCCTTCCCCCCGGGGTGGAATCTTTGTCACGTGTTCTACCTCCATTCTCAGAGCAAAGGTTTCACCAAGAAACCATGAAACAGATGGAACGAATCTCTTCTGCTCGCAAATCTTAGACTAAATAAAAACAAAACAGCCCTGAGTATCAAATACCTTAGCTGGGGAGACATAATTCCTGTAGATTTTGGCTTCCCAAGCAGTAAACTCTGAAAGTGAATCCGCCCTCCCCCTGAGCTGTAACTGTAAGACAATAATGCTGGAAAAAGAAAACTAGAGACCAACCTTGGGCTGTAGCTTCCGGTGATTTCGCCCTCAGCACAGACTTAGGGAGGTGTATTTGAACTCCTTGAAGCCGGTGCCCCTGGAGAGGCCTTCCCAGTACCTTGGTATCTCCAAATCAAAAAAGATTTGGTCTGAATCAAGGTGGAGTTTCCGGGTCCCAGTCCTGCCACTGGGAACCCCAAGCCACTCCCCAGACCGCGTCAATAAAGAAAGAGAAACAGTGGAGAGCCTGCTATTGGACCCCCTCCCCACGCAAACCGGGTGGACTTTGACTGTAAATTGTGCCGCGGGAAGAAAGGGAGGGAGCCGACCTCCCTTTGCTTTTGTTTTCTGCGTGGAGGACACTCCGAGGGACAATCGGCCGCCTACCTGCCTGTACTTTCCGGGTCGGGGGAGGCTGTGCCGCCTGCAGAGCCATTCTCCTCTGTCTCACCTCCCCGCGCTGTTCCCAGCTGGACCAGCCTGACTCACCCAGGATGGGTGGCGGGGGCTGGGGGACACCTCAGAGGGCGGAGGTAAAGGAGGCGGGCCGGGCCCTTCCCCCAGAGCCCAGGAGGCGTAGCCAGCGCGCAGGTGAAACCGACTCCGACCTATCCCGGGAACTTTCGCTGCGGGGACTAGCTGCCACAGGCCAGCGTCGCTCAGGGGCGGCCTGGGAGCCGCCCTCTGCCACCCGGGCTGCGCGCGGGGACTCAGCCCGGGCACCCGACCCTGGGGACCCTCGGCCCTCCCGAAGCGCTTTGGAGATGCGGACAGCGCCAGTTTCCGCGGCTGATGGAGGCGGGTGGCGCCGCCCTGGTCGCAGGTGACACTCGCCAGGTCCGGGTTTCTGTCCGAGTGGGAGTGTGCTGGGAGCTCGAGACGCAGCCGCCCCGGCGACCAGGGACCTGGCAATGATGGCCGGAGAGCTGAGCCAGGAGTCACTGCTGGACTTTCTGTGCCAGGCCGGGGGCCGAGTGCGTAACGCCGATCTCTTGAGCCACTTCAAGGGCTTCCTGCGCGACCCTCACGTGCCTCCCGGCCAGCTGCAGCAGCGTCGCGAGCTCTTCAAGGGCTTCGTGAACTCGGTGGCCGCAGTGCGCCAGGACCCCGACGGCACCAAGTACGTGGTACTCAAGAGGAGGTACAGGGACCTGCTGGGGGAGGAGGGCCTGCAGCGACCCACCCCTGTAGAGGGACCGCAGCAGGGCCACCGCCGCCCGCGTGACCCGGAGGCGCAGAAGCCACCGGCAGATGCCGCGACCCGGGTGGACTCAGGTGGGGATGAGCTCGCGGGCTGCCGCGCGAGGGAGGCGGCCGGGGCAGAAGACTGCCCAAGGGACAGACCTAGCCGGAGGGCACCGGGACCTGAGGCTGCTCAGGCCAGAGGCAGGTGCGCGGCGGTGGAGAAGCGGGGCCGCTGCTGCTGGGAATGTCAGCAGAATGGCTGGGGGGACACCACGCGACAGCCTCTGCCCGGAGATCTCGAGGACCCTGCGGCCGCCTGCAAGGAACCAGAGCTTGCTGCGCCTGCCGGAGATGACCTCGGAGCTCCGGGGTGGCTGCGGGAAGGAACGTCGGCTGAGCGAGCACAGGTGTCTGCAACGCCTGTCTGGCCTCTGGCCGCCGTCGAGGCTGCTGGGAGCCCGACGTCCCCGCCCGCTCTCCCGCCCCTCCCGGCTCCCTCCAGTGAACCGCTGGAGCTGTTTACCGCCGACTCCCCGAACCATTCAACCCAGCAGCTGCTGCTGCAGCAGCAGCGCACTCGAGAGTGGGTAGCCAGATATCCGCAGGTGCCCGAGGCCAGGAACCAGGGGCCCACTCGCGCCTGGTCGGTGTTGCCAGACAACTTCCTCCAGCCACCCTCGGAAGCCACCTTTGGGGTCTCGGAAACGAACTTGGCTCTGCCAGAGCTCGCACTGTCTTGTCATCCTCTTTTTCCTGTGGTTCCTGATGAGTCCTCAGAATCCTGGCCAGGGAACCCTCCACCCACTGTCTTTCGAAGCATTCGTTGTCAGCTGTCCCTCCAGGATCTGGATGACTTTGTGGATCAAGAGAGCCACGACAGCGAGGAGAGCAGCAGTGGACACAAAGAATCTCCCGAAACCCCCGAAGAGGGACTGCAGCCTGTCCTGGGAGCTTCCTCTTGGGGAGAGCTCAGGGATCCTATCGAGGGCCTGCCTGTGTCTTCAAACGAAGGCAGCCCCAGTCGGATCCGGCGGAGCCTCAGGTACAAAGGGAATGCAACAGGGGCTAAAAGCCTTGGAGACCACCCCCAGGAGCCTTCACCCTGGCCAGCCCCCAGGTTCCGGAGGTCTCTCAGGAGAAGCGCTAGAACTGGGAGAACCAAATCCTCCTCCTCTGATGAGGAATGTCTTGATGAGGACTTGCTGAAAAGGAGCCGGCGCCCACCCCGGTCCAGGAAACCTTCCAAGGCAGGAGCCCTGCACAGCCCAAGGGTGGATGCTGTTTTGGTACAGAAATTGACAGACGCTAATGCTGTGGCAGGTCAGCCACACACCTCATGGGTCCCCAACAGGGATGTATCTGCAGCATTGACATACCACAGATCTCCTGAGCACAAGTCATCTCTTGTCCCCCTAGATGCCAGGGAACATGAATGGATTGTGAGGCTTGCCAGTGGCTCCTGGCTTCACGTGCAGACTTTGTTCTGGGAGGATCCCCAGTTGGCTTTGCACAGAGACTTCCTGACAGGGTTCACAGCCTTGCACTGGATAGCCAAGCATGGTGACCTGCGTGCCCTTCAGGACTTTATCTCTGGAGCGCAGGAGGCAGGGATTGTACTAGATGTCAACGTGAGGTCCAGTTGTGGCTATACCCCACTGCACCTCGCAGCTATTCATGGCCACCAGGGAGTCATCAAACTGCTAGTGCAAAGGTTGGCTTCTCGGGTGAATGTCCGGGACTACAGTGGCAAGAAGCCATGGCAGTATCTGACCAGTAATGTCACTGGGGAAACATGGCAGCTCCTGGGTGCACCCCGGGGCAAACCCATCTTCCCTGTATATCCCTTAGTGAGAAGCCCCTCCCCAGCCAGGAAGGTCAAGAGTCGGGAAATGTCTAGAAATGTCACCCGGAAGACTTCCTTGGCTGCTTTGCTCAAAACCCAGCACCACAAATGGAAGATGGCCAACCAATATGAGAAATTCCACACCCTAAAGGAGAGAGAAGAATATAGTGACTGAGGTGGTCTCCTCTTTCCAGAAGGCAAAGCACCCCCCCCCACACACACACAAGCTACTAAGTAGGTGAGAAGCCAGGGGAAACAAGCGGCTAGGAGTTGGTAAGGAGAAAGGACCATTGAAATGGTGTCCTCAAGGGTCATCTCAACTTCTTGAAGGCTCATAAATACGTTTGGGCTGTGAAATGTAGACAAAAGCAGAGCCAGGCACTCAAGCCTGAGAAGGGTCCCTTTCTCCTGAGCCAGCCAGGGGTCCGGGCACTGGAAGGCACAGTGTTTTCTGAGGCAGTGCCAGGCCTTACTAGAAAGGGAACGGACGCGTCAGAGAGAGGCAGTTCGTGGAACTGATATAGCTCACGCTCTTCTCTGGCTGGAGGCTCTCTGGCTTCTATTCATCTCGAGAATAAATCTTGGCTGAGTGGAAAGTACCAGGTTTGAAGTCAGATGACATCCCTTCGTTTTCTGTATGTGCCTTTTGGCATTCCAACCAGTGAAATAAAATGGCTTCTGCAGAGTGTAGAATCTGATTCAAGAGACTTCCCCAGTTCTGTGCCCGAGCCTTCCTGTGAACAGCATCTATGGTTGCTCGGTGTAAACTGATGACTTTCTTCTCTACGTATCTTTGCCAGTGATCAGAGAAGCAGACAGGAGCAATCAGATATGACCTTGACTTCACTCTCCAGAGAAATGACACCATCAGGTCCTGTTTATTTGTGTTGTTGTTAGCTGTTTGTACTAACCCAAAGTGAACTCCCCAAGTATAAAAACAGCTTGTTTCTTCATTTGTGTAATAACTGGCACTCTTCACCCTTCAGGACAACTCCCTGTAGAGCCAACAGAATCATCTCTGACAGCTTCCAAGGTCAAAACTGGTACACAGGAGAAGAGAGAGCCAGGGTCACTCTGGGGAAGCAGGAAGGGTTAAAACCATCAGAACTGTGTCAAGCTGCTAAGTATAACTTTATTTGCACTAAACTTTTTGCCAATTGAGATTAAATATTAGCCTTGAAGTACTGAATGTCTAACAGGAAGTGTTGCGTTCAGTTCTCAGGAAGATGGAGCAGTGCAGGCCCCTGGCTGCAGTCAGAGAACGAGGACTGCAAATCCCAGCAGAATGTGCAGGTCACAGACTGTAAATCCAAAGAGGGCTGGAAAGTTCAATGTTAAATCAGAGATTACTTTTTTATGAAAATATTTTCATGTGTAGTGGCAATGATGCTGTATTTTTTTAAGTATTTTTGTGTTTCTCCTGGTTATTTTCCTGCATTAAAAGACCAGCAGATTATTATAATTTATTTTATTGTACCCAGCTGATTATTGCTAATGTTTTACACAATGAGCTCGATGATTGTCAAATCTTTCTGTTTCTTTGTAGTTTAACTTTATGTTGCCAAAATCAATCTCTTTCTTTTCTCCATCTCTCTCCATTTCTCTAGGAATAGAATCTTGGACCTCATGTGTATTATTCGAATGTCCCCAATTCCTATTTAAACCAAAAAGACAAAATAATCAATTCTATGAGCATTTCCAATCACATAGCCTTTTCATCCCCTACCTAAGGGCGAAACTGGAAAATCAAATCAGAAAACATGATGGGGGGGGGTGAATGAAAATTTTAAGTTTACAAAATAGCCATCTATGTAAATAACCTAGTGAACAGCTGCTTTGGGGAGCCAGTGGGTTTATATATTGTCACAACCAGATCAACTTACTCAACAAATATTTTACACAGTGCTATGGGGTTTAGAAAGGTGAGCGGGACATGATCTCTCTCCGATAGAAGCTAAAAAATCTGAACTATTTGTTCCTGGCTGCCTTCTACCTTGACTTGCTCCCACGGTGTCCTCCAAAGCTGAGTTACAACAGAGAGAAGCTTGTGATAATAAACAAAGAGGGGGGAGGGAATGAGGACGAACCAATGTAATAGAACACTCCAAATACCAGAAGTAAAGAGAAGTAAAAACCGAGAGAGAGAGAGAGAGAGAGAGAGAGAGAGAGAGAGAGGAGAGGACAGGAGAGAGGGAGAGAGAGAGAGAGAGAGAGAGGAGAGGACAGGAGAGGAGAGGGAGAGAGAGAGAGAGAGAGAGAGAGAGAGAGAGAGAGAGAGAGAGAGAGAGAGAGAGAGAGAGAGAGAGAGAGAGAGAGAGAGAGAGAGGAGAGGAGAGGATCCCTTAGGCTGAGAGGAAGGGCTTGGTTCCCGCCGGGAGTGATGATACTGGCCTTCCCAGGAAACCAGCTTTGTTGGTTCCTCCACATTCTTGTGTCTACTTCAGCGTAGCTCCATACAACCTAGTGTTGGCTATTGCTCAGTGGTCAGAACACATCCCGGTTGGCCTTTGTTCATGGGTCTATTGTACTTGACCTGGTGAACTCTCTTTACAGGGTCACAGTGATGTGTGTGGGGGTGGAGTCCGGACAGAAGAGGGGTTGGAGGGCAAGGTGAAAGAGCCTTTTGCTCATGTTGCAAAGTCCAAGTGGGGAGGGCCGGGGCAGGAATGCTCTTCCAGCCTTCTGCTGGCTTCTCTCTGCTGTGAACCCTGCACCTAGGTGGCACCACACCTAAGCGGTGAGGGAGAGCAAGGCCCTACCCACTCGGTTTTTATTCTAGATTCCTTCAGTGTGGAGTTCCGTACCACCTTCTTGACTAGGTTGCTAACACCCCTTAAAAAAGAAAAAAAAAAACAGTTCAAATATAAGCTGTAAAGAAGACTCAAGGTGAAGGCCTTCAAATGTAGGCATGGCCACTTCACTAGAATTCCCAGAATGCTATGAGCAGACCTCACAATTGCTGACTCATCAGTGTTTGATTTTGTTTTCTGCTTTTATTGAGACAATGTCTCATGTTCAGGGTAGCCTTGAACGCCTCAGCCTCCCATGTGCTGGTATTACAGGCACATACTATGACCCAGAACAACTATTCCATGTGTTTAAGCCAAGGGTTTTGATTTTACCTGGAGACTTTGATTATTAGAAAACACTTTGAGCTCATCTAAGTGTACCAGGCTGATCCTTGTTTCTGGTTTTCTTTCCCTATCTAAAAAAGAGATGAGGTAGACAGTCTTGCTGTGTTGTCCAGGTTAGCACCAAGCTCCTGGGCTCAAGCCATCCTCTTGCCTCTGCCTCTTATGTAACTGCAACCTCAGCCAGGCCACCAGGTCTGGATACATTTACTGGGAATTTGTTGGGCATCTAGTTTGCCCTAAGGATATCACTTCAGCCTTCCTGCCTTCCAGGACTCTTTGGTTGCTAGAGATGGGAGCTATGAGAATGGAGTCGCTGGAGATTAACTCTAGCCCCACAGCAGATCTGTGCACCAAGACACGAGAAGTGAACCAGGAAGACGGCTCAGTGGGTAAAGGCATGAGCCGCCATGCCTGAGGACCTGGTTCAACATCCAGATCTCCTCCCCTCGCTTCCACATACACACCAAGACAGACCTGCCTCGTGGTCCCGCTGCCCCCACACACAGTAAAATAAATAAGAGAGAGAGGTCAGGGTGGCAGGTCTAAAATGGGCAATGTCACTAATGCTGCAGCAAGTGGAGGGAAACCCAGAAGGCTGGCTGGATACTTTCTCCTGGGGCCACCTGTTTGCATACTGGTCCTTCCCACTCTGTCTCCAGGGCATCTCCGAGCTACACAGCACCTTGTAGTAGTGTATAACTGATGGACCATCCTTCTGTGCATTTATCACAAAACTAACATCATGGATCCTGGTGACTGCTGAGACCTGCCATAAGCCATGGAAAGCTCGGTCCTGGAACCATATTTCCAATGGGGTGCACAGTCCTTCAGAAGTAGGGTATTCGACAAGGATGCTCTCTCACCATCCTTTTCTTTTCTGGTCTTTCTTCCTATCTGCTAATTGCAGACTTAGGAATCCACAGAGGGAGAGCTAGAAACTCAACACAGCTTGCTACTCATTAAAGGTTTTGACAGATCTGAAGTTTCAGTTTTCAGTGTTCTCTATCATCGTACCCTGGCTGGCATATCCTATAGCGTGGATAATGGGACACCAAATTGGCTGTGTCTCTGTTCTTTTGCCAGGAGATTTATTGTGTTTACTTACAAAGTCTCTCAGTCTTTAAGGGAGGAAGGCATGAGGCACCTGCTGCATAACCATACAAGTTCCTCCCCCTGGAACAGCCTAGAATCCTTTGAGGAGGGAAAAGAAGTGATTATCTAGGCACAGGACAAAGACATCTGCAGCCTAAGCTGCCTTGGGTGCCACCTGACCAAAACCCTATCCTCCCTTCTGTATGTCACCTTACACCTCCAGGGGCTCTTGGGTCCAGGTGTTTGTTCCTTCTATAAGCTTCCTCAGGACCACCTGGAAGATCAGAGGCAGGTGGAGCGGCACCACCTGATGCTCTTGGCATCCTGGATACAGGTCTGGTGCCCTCTCTGTCTGTGTCTAAGTGCACCGTTGACTCAGAGTCAGTTTGGGGGTCTTTGTGTGTGATATTGCTCGGATTCAAATCTCCAAGTGTCTTTATTTATGTTTCTGGATTAAGAAGATAAAACCCAATTCTCTTCAAAATTTAAATCTACAACATGATGGAAAATGGCCGTGAAGTTATAGACAGCTGGTATTCCTGAAAGAAGATAGAAATTGTATATAATGGGGGAAGGTGATGCACAGGACTATTCTCTCAGACAAAGTGCCGCTATCGTCATGAGTTCAGCTGTCCCCACTTACAAAGGGTCATCAAGCTGGGCTTACTGCCTGTTGATCTTCCCTGATACAAAAGAGGCTGGGTGGGTCATGGGACCTCCCACCCTGAGTATCTATCCACTCCTCCCAACCAGTAGTATGCAGTTTTGCCTTAATCGCACATGGCCTCAGGGAAGAGCTAGAAGTATATAAATTGGGGAGGATTAGGGATAGGGGTGCATCTATGCTGGATGTAAGCATTCCCGAGTGGCGGTTTTAAGGCCACCCATGCTCCTGGCTGTGACCCCTCACCCACAGCTCTATAAGTAAGCCCAATACACTCTGACTCTCCAGAGTAAAGCTAGAATGTATCTGGTTTTGGTGCAGGGGACCTTAGGAGTGAGGTAGCCATTGTTTAAGTTTCCCAGGGAAGGAATTTGAGCAATGGAAGGCATTATATAGCAAATATTCTGCTATCTGCTAGGTTTGGACTTTTTTGTTGTTGTGTGGTCGTTGTTTTTTGATTTTTGTTTTGTTTTGTTTTCAAAGCAGGGTCTTGCTGGGTGGCCCCAGATAGCCTCTAACTTATTATGCAGCCCAGGTTGTTCTCAAACTTGGAACTGTCCAGCCTCATTCCAATGGAATTGGATCATTTTGATTAATAAGTTATCTAGTTACCAGGGATTTCTTATATATTATTTACATAGTGACGATTTTAAAACATCAACAACTTAAATTTAAATATATTTGGCTAGGTGGGTAAAGTACCTACTGTGCAACCATGCTTAATCCCCAGAACACACAGAATAAAACTGAATGTGATAAGCACATGTTCATAAACCCAAAGCTGGGAAGTCAGAGAAGGTGGATCCCTGGAATTCTCTGGCCAGCTAGTCTAGTAGAATAGGCAATTGTGAGAGACTCTGTCTCAAAACCACAGGGTGGTTAATGACTTAGAAAAAAAATCAAAGTTTATCCTCTGGCCTGCACATTCACTCACAGGTGCACCCAAATTCACACGTGCACCAGCACCCACAAGTACACATACACAGTATATACCACGTATTTAAATGAAGCAGAAATTAACTAATTGGCTTATTGAAAAACAGAGTATAGGATTTTGAGGCACTTAAGTCTTTACTCACTTTCTGAGGGAAAAAATATTTAAAATTGCATGGTTAATAAAAGGTTGTACAGGGTGGTGGTGGCCCACGCCTTTGATCCTAGCACTTAGGAGGTAGAGGCAAGCAGATCTCTGTGAGTTCAAGGCCAGCTTGGTCTACCTAGTGATCAAGACAGGTTCCAAATAAATAAAAGGTTGTGATTTATACATTGTAGTTTGTCTTTTATTTGTTTGATTGTTTTGTACAGGGCCTTGAACCTAGGACCTTGCCCATTCTAAGCAAGTACTTTACCATTGGGCTACATCTCTATCCCTGCTTTTGATATAGGATCTCACCATGTTGCTCAGGGAGGTCTTGAACTTGTGAGCCCAAGTGATTCTCTGGCTTAAGTCTCAACTTAGACTATAGGTATGTGCCATTAAGCCTGGCTTTACAACTCCCTTTATATTAAAAAAACATAGAAGTAATATCTGTATTTTATACAGGAAGAACCATAACAACAAAAAGCACAATCAGCT